ATTACCCTGATAACAACATCAGACATTCCCAAGCTGCACAAGCACGATGTCTACTTCGCTGGTGTAGTTCCGGTCTTTATAACCGCATATGCCTATAAGATACCGCAATACGAAGCTTCCGGAAATACTGCCCCGTTCAAATGGCAATTTCCAGCTTCCGCTGCCCAACATATGAAACGGTCGCATTCTTTTTAACTTATTTCCAACAAGCGGATGATTTACTTCTACAGGAGTTACTAACAAACGAGTAAATCACGCTCACTGGTAGTATGGGACAGAAATGAGTGCAACTGTTCTAGCATTTCGCCTACCGTGACCCATGTGATGAATTGTAAGGGGCAGCTGATGTGCGAATCTGTGTCTTTTATCCCCTTTTCTCCCGCAAAAACTCGTACTGATTAATCGACCCAGTGGGACGGAAGGAGCTGAACGCCCAGCCACACCACAGTCTTGGTTTGCTTTGTTGACTAGCTCATGACGCGAAAATGATAACCAAGGTGCTGAGTTGTGGATAAAACAAGTAATCACAGCCCGTCATCATGAATAAAAGGAAAAGCTCCCGGTCGCTCCCACTCACCACAGTGACATAATGAGCGCACTATGATCTATGCGATGAATTGTGTGTAGTAACTGATAAGCAATTCTGTGTTTTTATCCCGCACACAAAACGCATACTAATTAATCGAGCCAGTGGAATGGAAGGAGCTGCTGGCCCGAGCGGGAGCCCATCCCAGACTCTGGCCGCTACCTTCGCCCTCAGCCTCAAATGGTGAAAACACATAATTGGGCGCTGTTTGAGTTAGAAGGGGAGAGGGCATTTTTTCGCCAATACATTTTGTTCATGTAAACTGCTAGCTATCCCTCTGGAAACCTGTGAACTCTTGCGGGACTGCGAAAGGGCCACAGTCCAATGAGAATGACAGAAATACCAAATTCATAGAAACTTACGTTGACACAAAGTTTCGGCGCAGCAAAAATCCAGAATATTTTCGAGTCAGATGGTATGTGGCCATTGCGTTGCAGCTGAAAGAAATTCAAGATGAAGAAGGCTGCAGTTGGACAGAAGCATCATGTGAAGTAAGTTTAATACTTACGTGATGGATCACGTTCAATGCTGCCACGCCTACCACATGTCGAAAAGACGGCTTTATCGTGTCCAGATTTAGTGCGTGAGTTGTTTCCTGAAAACAAAAACTATTTGAAAATAAAACCGCCAGTGTGAGGAGAAAAATTCAGATCCTCACTTCTACAACTTCATTCATCTCCCAACTCAAAGCGTCTGGGATATAATTACCACCACCTAGTGTATTGACAGGTGCTACACAGGCGGCCAAGGCGTTCAGAAGGGATGCACGGTAATGATCATCAGAATATCTGAAATACTCTTGGCTGTGGGCCTACTCATTCCACAGGAACGACACTTGCAAATCCCACCTGTTTATTGAATTGTCGTTGTAACGTATATAGTCAACAATGAAACACTGTACTTCTTGTAAAGCCATACCATTGGTTCTCATCCGAGCCAAAGCCTGTGGGAGAGCCTAAATCAGACGTAAAGGATAAAGTCTTCGCCGTTGATCAATCCCTTTGTGGGATGCGGCACGCATTCTACTTCCATTCAGAATCGTAGTGGCTTATTGAATGCGATGTGGCCTATACAATGACTTGCGGGGGCCAGCCGATGTACAAGTCAGTGTTTTATCCTCCCAGACGAAACCAATTTACCGTCCCCGGAGGGTAGAAGGCTTGGTTGGCCTGGGCGGGTGTCGACCCGGGATTTGAACCCAGGACCGCGCGAGTGGTCAGCGCGCCACTTTCACTACACCACCTCCTGCCCAAAATCAGACGTACCTACCAGAAATCAAAAAAAAAGTTTCTCATTTAGAACAGAACATGAGTGCAACGTCTCTCATAACAAAATGTAAACCTCGCACCTGTTGAAGGAAATATTGTTGGAGATTCTGAGAAGTAACAACAAAATTGTTGGACTTTGGAATAGACGGACATGATTTAGCACCGTAAGTTTTCCTGAAACATTTCTCAGGTAAAGGTTCACAGCGACTGCACGGAAGCAACGGGACAATGATTGGGAGCAACTCTGACCTGTACAGGCTCAAAAGAGCTGGCACTCCTGACCACGTTTCAGGCATCTTATTCAACACTTCTGTAAGAGCGTACGCAGCATGACACCGCACACTAAAGTATCAGGCTGGCCTCAGGAACATGTTATGCAAAGTAGATGAGATTGAGT